GCCTTGCGGCATGCTATGTTGTGGCTTGGAACATGACGTTCTTTCTCCAGGGGAGGTCCATGCAGTTACGCAGTGAGAGTGTAGTTGCGGAATTCCTGTGGCGCCCCGCTTGGCTCTTCCTCCTTCCGACCTCTGGAGTCCCCATGCCCAACCTGTCGGGGCTTGCTGATTCGGAAGGAGGCCTCACACCTTGGAGCGTGGCGTTTGAGGAACAAACAGGGACTGAGACCAAAGAACATGTGCGAGTGGACCAACAGATTGCAAAAGTGTATGAAACCGCTGATCCATTCTAGTCCCAATTATTGTGTCCTGCTTTTACTCTTATCGTGTCGCAGGGCTTTGGCAATATCCAACATCTGCTATGGCTTTCTACGCTGTGGGGTAGCATGACAGCAAACTCACCCGAGGGCAGTTGCAAAATTCAAGACTTTCAGGATGGTTTCACAGAGAGGTCCCAAAGCTCTTCTCGAGCAATTTTCTTGGCAAATGTTAGCAACGATTATATAGCAACGAAAACCTAAACTACTATATACTGTAACTGAACCAAACAAGGCAAAGGGGTTTGTTGTGTCGTCTTTTTCTCGTTCTGAGGACCTCAACTTTCCCAGGTTTGGGGCCGTGATTTCGAAGCACGTGTTCGTTGAACATCTTGTTGTTGTTGCTGCCGCTGTTGTTATTGTTCCAATATCGGATGTTCTCGAGCTTTACACACATATATATTTTTTTTTGCTTGTAGCAATCTATATAGAGATATGTTGATATATGTTTTAAATAGCAATTCTGGAACCTAGAGATCTGCCGTCTTTGAGCTGCAAGGCGCAGCTTGCTGTATGTAATCTCCCATCATCGGTACTGATGGCTGTCAGCACAGCTTGCTCCAGCAATTCCAACCTTCACTCCTGAATCAGTGGAGCATGGAACCCTATAGGAAACCCATAACAGCTAGAGCTCACCTCATGGTGGGCCCTGGTGTCCGGCTGCCGGCCTTGACCATGCAATGCGAAGCCATGAAAAACGGAAACCTGTCATGGGGGGTCCAAAGAAAAAGCACATAAATGGACGGCCGGTCTTCATAGTGTATATATATATGTATATGATTGTATATGTGGTTCGTTGTGCTAGCATTTTACCAAAAAGAACCTACATTTAGCAGAACAACCGCTCAGCCGAGCCGCAACTTCATCAAGAAGCGAAAGCGGACCTGGGCATCCTGGAAGCGGACAGTGGGTCAAGAGACTGGGACCAACGGCCTCTTTCATGGACAGCCCTACTACTACAAAAAAAGCGTCTGAGCCAAAGAGCACAGCGATATGCAAACATTGTTGGTGCAATTTTAGTTGCGGGGGGAGCCTTGTGACTTGCAGCAAAAGTGGCACCGATGTGTTCGGCCATTTCTCAGTCACATTGATCCGCTGTTTATAAATCGCCGGCCCCTGCCTAGCTGACGCCTAGGCCGGGCGGCGCCGGGGACACCGGCAGGTGAAACAGTTGCCCAGGCCCCAGGCCAAGCAGATCCAGAGCGCTTCAGATCCAGAGTGCGTCGCCGTGGCGAAGGTGCCGTTTCTAGGGGTGGGCGTCGGCTGCATTCTGCCTTATTGGCACACCTCAGCTGCCAGGCAACTGGGCCAGGCAACTAGGCATCGAAGGCGACGTGCCAGACAACTCTTTTGTGGGCTCCCGAAGGCAACGTGCCAGGCAACGTTAGGCACTTTGGCTAGCTGCGGCTGCGAGCCCTTTTTGGTGTGGAATTAGATGGTGGAAAGCCGTGGCGAGGGAAGTTGCCGGGAGCGCTTCGCCGTGGCGAAGCTGCCGTTTTCTGCCCAAGCAGATCCAGAGTGTGTCACTGTGGCGAAGGTGCCGTTTCTAGGGGTGGCCGTCGGTTGCATTCTGCCTTATAGGCACACCTCAGCTGCCAGGCAACTGGGCCAGGCAACTGGGCATCGAAGGCAACGTGCCAGACAACTCTTTTATGGGCTCCCGAAGGCAACGTGCCAGGCAACGTTAGGCATGTATGTCACCAGCTTACGTGCGGCCGGCCGCAGGCCACACACATACTGCAGCTTGCTTACATCCATATTTACTGCCTTTGGCTTGCCTTTTCTGTCTATGTAATGGCCTCGCATTGCTTGCAGCAGCTGCTTTGCACCTGCTTCGGAATCCTCTGGCTTCAGGCGCTGCCATGCGTTCGTGCTGTCGTCATAGACCGACGCGTCAAACAAAGCCACGTTTCGACTCAAGTTCAACGGAAACTTAAGTTCCACGAGGAAAATCCGAAAACCCAGTCACGTGCCACCTGTGCCTCGCACCGCCAGGCCATGATTTTGACCCAGGCATGGAGTTCGACTCGCGGTGCGTCCTGCTGCCGACGGAAACGTGGTTTAGCACTCCACGCTGGCGGGTCTGGCATACCCGTGCAATACTTAGACTTAAACACATACGGAAACGCCATTCCAAAATATTTCGGTTGGAATTGGTCCAGCAGTTTGTTCCCTGTGCGTAGAACATATTCTGGCACCTCTTGTCCTTCGCTTGCTCCCTTCGTGGCTGTCGCTTGCAAGGCGGACACGTGGCTTGCGTTGACATCCGCTAATCCCACGCTGGTTTTGTCTGCCACTACGGCATTGGGCTTCATCATGTGCCTGAATTCTTCCGCCAACTCGTGGCTTGGCATCTCTCCTCTCACTAGTGTGGCCGCTTTCTGTCGCATTATCTGGTTCAGGCCATCGTCTAGCGGTAACACAGCAATCACTTCTTCCGGCACTGCGTCCTCGGGTAGATGCGAAGCCTTGTGATACATTGCTTCCATTGTCCTTACTGTTTCAAGCCGCATGATTTCCAGATGAGACAAGTCAGAATGACAGGATAAAATATATAGAATGGTTCAAAACAAGGTCCTGCGCGCGGTCCTCCAATTTGTCCTAAAAAAAGGGGTCGGCTGCACCAGGGCGAAGCCCTTACAATTATCAATTATCAATGTACATCATCACTACGTGACAGATTGCATATACAGTATATATATATATATACATATGTTTTGCATACTAAAACTGCAGGAAAAAATCTTTGAGGTCTGTCAAATCATGGTCAGCTAGGTCTCGGCTTGGTTTCCTTCTAGTTTACCTGAAGACATCGTATTCACATCCGGTAGCTGGGACTTTCCCCATTTTTGCACACACCATCCAAAAATATGCCCCTCCTGGATCTCCTCGGCCCTCTTCCAGCCTGCAACGCGAGAAAAAAAGGACTACCAACCAACAAAGGAAGACGAGAAGATACTGCCCTCATCTGCCCTCTGTGGAAACCCGTCTTGTTCATCCACTCCTGAGGACTCTTTCTTCGTGTTGTCGCCCGACACGAGAACGCCCAGAAACGCCCTCACCTCGAAGCATCACATTCGCCGCCTGGAAGCGAAAAACGCAGAATTCGGATGGTTCAAGTAGATTCTTGATTGTCCCATATAGTCTAGTTACTAGTTTGTCTTTTGGGGGGGGGCCCAGCGTAGAGGTAGTAGCTAGGTAGCTAGTGGCTTTTGTAGCTCCTACTTAGGACGCAGGATAGCTCACGCTAATGACTTGGTTCCTAGATTTTAAGGGAAACTTATATAACTGTTCTTCTCCATGATAACTCTAGCTTTTTCCTGCAAACATATCAAGGAATTCGTGAAACTGACAAATTGGGGGGGCACTCAGCGTCTTGTGGTGAAGGGATTCCCCCATCAGTCTAACATGCACCAATTATATATAAAGCGGCCCAGCTTTAATTGAACCAGGAGGCTTCACAGGTCACTGCTTGCTTCGCACGTTTTGGCACACTGAAAATCTGGTGACTCATGAAGAGTTCATGATGACCCCGAGCCAGACCTGAAAACGCCTGAGGTGATTCCCCCTTCGATTGCATCGATGATATTTTTTTGTTCGTGGCCCATCGGACAAGTAGGTCATGACTCGGTCGTGACTGACAGGGCTCTCTCCATTTTCTGAAAATGACTAAGAATGCAAGCAGTATCTGGATCACGGTCTGGACTAAAGGGACGAGTGGCGAGAGGGACGAGACCACGAGAAACCTTCGGCAGGTCACGAACCCATCATTTACACCTGCAGTGCTTTTTCAACACCTTTTCTCAGGTCCATGGTGGCAGCTGCAGTACTCAACCTAACTGTCATCTGAGTCTGGCCCACCCCTGAGAACGGTCTGACCCTTCAGGCCTTGTCCCACTGCCCTTCGCTGGCATATACCACGCCCAGACTCAGGAAGGAAGGCCGATTGGATCTGGCAAATTCTGCCACGGCGATGTATGTCGGCTCCCAGTTTCTTAATGTTGCCCAACTCCTCGTTCTAAGTCTTATGAACTCGACAGGAGTGAGGAGCGCACATGAAAAGCTTTGATGGACACTCAGCCTTGGTAGAATCTTTTTTGTCTCACCCTGGCTGGGGCTAGAACTCATGGATCAGGCGAAGATTGTACCTGGGTCGCACAAAACAAAGAGAAATGACATAGCTGAGGGAATGAGCAAACTGAAAAACACTCCTCAAACAATCCAGATGGATGGGACAATGGACATTCTGATGTCAAAAACAATTCTATTAAAGCGGGCGCAAAGCTGCAACAACTCACAGCGTGAGCTTGGAAAAGTCAGTGTCAGGGGTTTGGGGCTTGAGCTTGGATTACGTAGACACCTGTCGAAGCGAAAAGTAAGGTAATACATTTGTCATCATTGGTTTAGTATAATTATAATTAATTATATAGATTGATAGGTTTATGGCTTATGGTCAGTGACTTCCAGCTGTCCCACTGTCCACATCAGTCCTTTTCCTCAGGCGCTCGTTGGCTGACGGAGCTGGGCTATGCTACCGGGCGGTATTGTACAGCACCGGCGACACGGCTGTGGCTTGGCTTGCAAAAGCCACATGTGGCAGAAATCGGGTTAGATCACCAAGTGGTTTTCAAATCATCAGCTTCGGTAGCACAATCATCTGTTTGTTTGTGCAGCTTTCAATACATGAAGCACGTCAGCAGTGCCAGTGGTGCCATTTGCAGAAACACTCCCAACCACTTCTTGGCCTCCATCACTGGGCCTTCTTGGCCTGGGCCACCAACAAAGCCTGGTACGAGAGAGAGGCTTAAGCATGTAGTAGACACCTATGGCCCGGGCCATGACCTGTAGAATCCAGAACATCTCCTACAAAAAAACTCCGGTCGTGGAATAAACCGGTCGAGTAGTGTCCTGCCAATCAGCTTTGGCGATCCTGAAGCTGGGAGTCAAAAAACACCACTGTGCCCATGTCCCAGCGTTTGGTCCACTGTGCAATGGCTACTAGAGGTCTTGTAAACCCTTCCAATCATGCAGTCATCTCATGTTCCAGACACTCCACGTGTGGAAGATAGAGCAAGACCACTTTTGAACCATCCCAACTGATCGGTGACTATGCCAAGGAGTGTCTGGGTGTGGGTGGGACTGGGTGGCATCTCTTCAATGTGTCATATGCAAATATATGCAAAATCCAAAAGGTTGTCTCACATTTCAAGGCCCACTAAATCCCTATCATAACGTGGTAAACACAAACCAGCGAAGGACATGGACAGTGACAAATCATTGATGCATTGGAAAATGCCTGAAATGTCCAACCTAGGCCACGACCTAATATACAGCAGGTGGAGAGGAAAAAACAAGTGAATTTCCGAGTGCTACTATTGATATGAAAGTGAATTTGAATCCACACCTCTCTAAGTCCCAGTCTTCGACCTCCACCTCAGCGGCCATGCGAGTTCACCGCACCTCGGCTCGAAAAAGACATGAGCGAAAGGCGCGCCCGAACTCAGCCCGGCTGTGACAAGCTGGTGGTGAGAACAGCTGAGTGCAATCAAGTTGAGTGGGGCAAGTTGCAGGCAAGCACCAGCAGCCGCCAGTCGCACATGGCTTGCTCTGAGCCGCTAACCCTTCAGCTTCTTGAGCTTTTGGGCCCAATCGCCAGAGCCATTGGGCGCCTTAGTGCTGTGGTTCATGCAGGTCTCCGTTATCCAGGGGGGAGCGCAGGTCACCAATCACTATGGCAGTACTTCTTTGGGCGACGTCCAAGCCTGTTGTCGGCTTTGATGTTGCCTTCTTGTTGAACAGTTTGCCCTAAGCAAGCGAGACCACAAACCTTCTCCACCAAAATACCTTTGGTGCACCTAGCCCCTGAAAGAGAAACATAGAAGTCCAAGACGACCAGGGTTTAGACAGTGTGGAAGAAAACTGGAATGCCGCCGGTTCCAACTTCGCAGTGGTCTCCCTCATGCCCAAGTGGTTCCTACGCAAACAATACTTAGCCTTGTTGAGATAGTCTCACAAAAATATGTACATGTATGCATGTATGACTCCTGTATGACCATACGGCCTTGCAGTGGCTTCTACATGCTTCTGCCAATGGATTGTATGGGTATTCCCACCCCCCGGCCTGGCTGCTGGCACCCGCGGGACACAGCGCCCCACGACCGCGGTCGTTCGGGGCAGGCCGTTCAGCATCGGCCGCAGAGGGGTGAACAGAACCTGGGCTTGGTTCAAAAGCCAGTCACAAGAACCTCAAACGGATCCAGATCAAAACCACCCCAAACAGAAGATGAAGTACAGTAAAGCCATGTAAAGCCCTGAGCGGAGGCCAAAGGGCCATCCCTGGGCCAGGGCACGTTTCAGCGCTTGGAGCTTCGTCTTCGCCCAGTGCTCGGCGTCGTCCTGTTGAAGTCAAGGGGCCGACCGCATGAAATGAAAGCCACCAAACAATGGGGTTGAATGAGAGGAACCTGATTGATAAATATTGATATGTTGATGTGAATATGCCGATGAAATGCACACAATACATTCACAAGCCATATACGTTCCACCAGGACCCGCCATGAATCATCTCGAGAGCATTGGAGACATTCACCACACCTTCTCAATCCAAAAGCAAAAAGACCGGAACCACGTGGCCAAACGCCCTTGAAGCTCCGGAACTCCTGTGCTTTGGGCGATTCAGGTGGTGAAGCCGGATGGACCGAGCCTCAGCACTGCATCTCATGGTCCATTGCCCATGGCGAACGCTCTTCCACGAACATGACTCAAAAGGTCCACGACCAAACAAGCACCTTTGCTCCTAGCAGTAAGGCCAGGAGCCCCGATCGTAGCATCCGATCGCTCCTATGTTGTTCTTGCCCCTCCTGAGGATTGGTGGACAGCGTCAGTTCTTTCAGCCACTTCCACCCGCTCAGCCCAGCGGCGCTTCAAGGCTTTCAACTTCTCCGTCCAGTCCTCATCCTGGACCACCTGGACGTGTCTCGTTCGTTCAGAGGTGAGACAAGAAAACTCAGCGGCAACCTGGTCGAAATAGAAAAGGGATAAGGGAAAACATAAAATAACTCGTTCAACCAGGAGGTGCTTTTGCCCAGGACATGTTAGCTAAGTATGAGGGAAACTTGATCAGGAAAACCTGCTTCTTGAATGATTCAAGCGCTGGCTCGTTCTGTGATCTCGGTCCATGCTCTCAGAATAGCCACAATCCGGTTATAGATGGTTATTGTCTTAGTGAATGCTGACCTGATGCATATGCACCCGGCCAGCATGGTAGACCGTGTCGAGGCAAGCTTTTCACCCTCAAAATCCCCACAATCCGGAGGACTTTAGTAACAAAGGCTTCGAGGTTGGAGGCCACCCCTATTCGGTTGGAGGCCATCGCTAGTAGGTTGGAGGCCATTACTACTAGCCAGAAGCTACTAGTTACTAGTAACAAGTTGTTAGTTCTTCAGCACTGATAAAAATACACTGGACCACACCTTGGGCGCTGGCAAAGAGCCAGGACCGATGGGAGCACCTCAGGTTCCCCGGTGGGAAGAGTGGAGACCGAAACAAAGCGGTCAGAAAGAGCACAACCACCCCTCGCTAGCACCCCGACAAAGATCGCGACTGTCTTCTGTGGGTCTCAAACCAGGCTAGCAGCCTTTGAGCTTCTTGATCTCCTGCGTCAATGCAGGGCCATCCTGCAGGAGCTGAAGCAAACGAACAAAAAACGAGGAAACATGTTGCTGCACATGACTGCACCACACACTACGTGCAAAACTCCAGCCAAGCCCAGTGCATAATTCGCAGCAAAAGGAACAAACAGTCATGAGTCATGAGTTGACACCTGAACAAGAAAGGACACGTGCATCGCATCGACTCGCTCGCAACCTGCAGCGATCCCAGCTGACTCCTGTGTTCGGCGCTTCTTGCGCACCGGTTCCAGGCCACACCTCAGAGACACCATCCTCCGGATAAGCCGTGAAGGGATCCCAACATCAAAACATTTATACACCGGATATTACGATATGTATACATATATGCATATATGTGTGTGTGTATGTGTCATACCCTGTTCCTAAGGGTCACCTACAGGACTTTAATTCATTTGCACAATCCAGCAGGGGGCTGGTTGTTCATGCAAGTGCCAGCCCACCGAAGAGGCTTGCATAGAACACTCATGTCAGTGAGGACGCTCACTGACGTACCTCCATTTTAAAATGCTGAATCTGAGTGATTTAAACACATTTAAACTATACTGCTCGGCCGACATTCTCACCTTTCGGTTCCTCACAGAGCTGTTTTGCAGGTTCAGGTTTTCAGCGCTTTAGTCATAACAGTTATAACATAAAGGGCTAATGCACCGGGAAATCATTGTCTGAACGAATGCTCACACAGTTCAGCAGTGCATCTAAAGTGTTTGTGCGGGTGCACGATAGGGCCGTGTCATCCTAAAAGTCCGTTGATAGTTTTCCGTGTTCTATTGACTTGGGGTTGGCCAAAGCTCAGGCTTGGGCCAGCCTCTGCTCATCTTCAAGCCAGAAAGCAATGGTATAGTAGTAAATTTCATCATCTTGAACTGCAACGTTGAGCCTACCCCACATCGAACCAGAACTCTTCCCCAAATGGGCAGCCCCACACCCCAGCCACACACACACACACACACATGCACCCATCTATCACACCATCCCTCTATCCCAAGCGTCACATCCATCAGCCGCTGCCGCAGGGCCTCGCTGCACGCGCCGCCGTCCGGCCACGCCGCCTCGCCGCTGGCCGCCTCACTGAGGGCGGCATGGAGCTCCGCACCTTGGAGTTCACAAGGTGCCCAAGGAGCACTGCACAGGAGCCCCGATCGTAGCGTCCGAACGCTCCGTTCGTATGCTAGCCCCGATCGTAGCGTCCGATCGCTCCTAGTTGCACTCTTCAGGTGGAGGAGCCGTTGAAAGATTGGGAAGTTCAGGTGGAAAGATTGTCCTTGCGGTGTCTGAAGTGTTTGGATGGATTCGGAAAGGGGTGGTTTCTCAAGAGTGTTGGTTTTGATGGTGGGGCGGCAAACTCCTCGCGATTTTAGAAAGAACTGAGATAGAGCATGTGCAAAGAAGAAAGGATAACCCAAAGGAGCTTGAACACTCAGAAAACCCAGCCGTATAGCCATTTATACGCTCAGAAATTGAAGCGTATTGCATCGTTGAAATTGGTTGCCTGGTGACTTCCTGGCATGGGGAAGTCAGTTATATAAGTTATATACCAGCTTTGAGCCTGCCTTACCACACTCACTCTTTCTGAATTTGCCTCGTGCCTGATACGTGGGGTTCTGCCAAGAGGCTGACCTCCATGGCACGCGGCTGGAGCCCAAAGCCCTGCAAGAGCCGGATCCGGCAGATTCCATCGGCGCGCAACGCCTGCTGCACCCCCTCCTGCTTTGAGAACTCCACAAGCAGCACACTCATGGACTTGCCCTTGCTGTCGCACAAGACCTGCAGGAAAGGCAGGCTGTGGCGAACTAACACCGATTGGGAAGCCCCAATCGCATGGGGTTCGGTTCGTTGAAAGGGTTTGAAAAAGGGATCTGCTTTGCCCACCACCCCAGCGCGCCCGGAGGTTGCGCAGCGCCCCGAACTGGCTGCAGTGCTTTCGAAGCTCAGCATCGGTAAGCCAGCCAGGCACACCAGCCAAGAGCAGGAAGCCTTGGTGATGACAACTCGTTTAGGGAGAACAATTCTATGTGTGGGCTGGTCACTCTACTTGTTCAAGTTCCCTAGGTTCTGCTTGTTTTGTGCATTTATAATTAAGTGGGATTACCGTTTCAACAAGCAGGGCGTTTCATTTTTTGCAATCCTCTGGTAGGAGCCGTCCACTTTCTCGGTAGGGTCGCTGTAGCAGTGTCCTAGTGGCATTCTGAATGCCTGCATTGCGTAAACATCTGGTCACCGACAAAGCTTGCCCAAGGAGAAAAGAGAAGAAAAAAAGGGCTGATAAAGGCGTTGGAAGGGCCTTAGAGTTCTGCACATCCATCGAAGCATCCATTTGTGAAGGCAGGATGGGAGGCCCATGCAGGCCTACTCACCACACCAACCTATCGATCGCAGTACCTGGCAGCCTAAACGGCCCGAGTGGCAATCATGAGGCCGACATGCACATGCCATGCTCGGCGGCGGGGCGGCCCGATGACTTGGACCTGCGACTCGGTCTGGATCGTTGATCGAAGCGGTGATCGATGCGTGGAACAACGGGAGAACACGGGGCACGGATGGGACGGATGGCACGGCTGGATGATGGATGGGGATTGAAACTGGTGCGGGGAAGAAGAATGTTCCACATCCTGGCACGGCAGAGTGAAGGACAAGAAATCAGATGTCCAAGCTTGACACAGGTCTTGGCGTTGCTCTACCAGTGCCTAGTCACTTAGTAGTCACCACTTACTCAGCTTCAAGGAGATTTCTCTCAGTGAACTCCCACTTTCCAAAAATAAAATGGATATATACCTATATATGTATACATAATTCTTCAGACATCTCTAGCCAGACTTGGAGAAGGTGAACCTTTAACCCTCTCTCGCCCCACTCGCTCGTGCCTGCTGCCGCGTTGGCCGCCGCCCATTGCGGCGCCTGAGCTCCCGTCTTTGAGGCCAAGACCTCCCCAAGGCCCAACGCCTCGTCCTCCGAGCTCTCCTCGCACGCGAGGTCTCCGGGTGGAGAGGGAAAGGAAGCTCTTCCTTTTGGTGGGGAGCTAGCATCGCTGCAGAGCCGTTAACATCAACCCCCTCACCACTGTCCTCCACTTCCTCTGAGACCGGGCTGGCAGGTGCTGCGGGGGCCTCAGGGAGTGTGGAGTCAAAGCCCGTCCCTGGCGGAAACTTGCAACATCATGGAAACCCTGGGTGGACCTATTCCATCTTTAGGTTCATGCTTACCTGGTCCGTTCTTTCAGTTGCCGACTCTGACTCTATGTATTTTTTGGGGGGGGCATGAGCTACAACCCTGTGAAGGCTTATCAAGTTCGCTCAACTCCGGCCATGCCTGACCCAGCGAAGTCTTGGACGTCTCGGCCTCTTCCTCTGCCAGAGCTTTCTGCAAAGCTGCCACCTGCTGCTGTGTTTGAAGCGGTGGCAAGTCCACGCTCCCAGCATCCTCATCCAACACCACAACCTCCGACTGCTTTGAGTTCGGCTTCGGTGCCTCAGCGTATGTTTCACAATCTGAAGCATGTCTTGCAAGTCCTTGTCGTGCAGTATATACAGTATATATTATGTTGTTGGGAAACGGTGAATCGAACCAGTTAGTAGTAGCCATTTGCAATATCTTCAAGTCTCGACTACTTGACTTCTTGCCTTAGCTGGCCATTGCCCTGACTTCAAAAAGCACCTCCTCTCCTCATTCGGCTAGGTGCGGGTCGGGTCGGGTTCTCGGCCTTCCACACCAAGTTCCTGGCCCTCGGCCGGAACTTCGGGGTCTTCACCTCACTCGAGGCCCCTCTGGTCGGCACCTCACACAAGTCGCCATAGATGTCCAAGCCCTCCGGCATGGACTCCACGCTTGGAGCGTTCAGGACCTTCAAGATCTCCTCGCGCTCCTCGCCCTTCGCCGTAGCGCCCTGCTCCCCGTCCATCGCTGCCACGGGCGGGTCGGCGACGGGCGGCGTCGGCGTCCACACCAGGTTCCGCGCCGCCCGCGGCCGTGGCACCGGAATGAACTCTGGGTGGTTCGCGCCCTCTGAAGCTGCAGCGACCGGTGCTGGTTCAGGCGCGGAGCCGGCAGACGGCACCACCGAGCCTTGGGCCAGTGCGAAGCAACGGAATCGACTGGTGGCATTGAAAAGTTCCAACTTGTTCCCATATCAAAAAGTTAAGGTATCGCCGTGATCACAGAGGAGCTGGATGCTTGAGCTGGATGTGCTGGAGCTGGAGGAGAGGTGAAGGAGCGGGTGTTTAATACCTGCAGCTCCTGGCGAGGAGCTCAACTTATATGACAATTTGAAGCCTAAGTTCAAGATGTTACAGCGAACTTGACAAACAAAGTGAGAAGTAGATTGGGGATCGGTGAGTCTTTCCATCACCTGGACAAACCGAGTCCTCCAGCGAATCCAAGTCAATCACCTCACTCTCCTTGCCACTCGGCCCTTTCACAGGCGAGCCCGTGCTGGAGGCCCCGGAGGCTGCCGCTGCCGGAGCAGCACCGGCACCAGTCACAGCTGTGGCCACTGCGGGCGTCGGTGGCTTCCACACCAAGTTCCTCGCCCTGGCTTTTGGCTCCCACGACTCCCTGCCACCGGCCACCGATGAGGCAGGCGGTGCCGGTGGTGCCAAGGCAGCTGGGACCTTTGGAAGATCTTTGCAAAGATCTCCATAGAGGTCCTCCGAGTCTGCCATGCTCCCATCACGCACCCATAGAGGTCCGTCCAAGCAGCGCCATGGCAACAGTTCAATTCTTTGCAAGACCTTAGACCTTGGTGTTATGAGATGTTTTATGCGGGACTTTCATGTCCCCCTCTATGCTAAGGGTGAATTCCCGCATGCCAAGCGGATGAATAGCATCCTATAGCCTTCGACGGGTCATGCGACAGGGAACCCCATCAACAAAAGGGATCCAAAATGAAAAGTGTTCAATCTTTAAGCCAACTTTAAGCTTAAGTCCCTCTTCTCATCGGCATAGGGAGCCACACATGTCTTGTCATTGAGCCCAGAAAACCCGCCGAGAATGACGCTCCGCTGCAACGACCTTCTCGAAAGCCTGAGCCTCCGCGCGGATCGGCCGCCAGCGCATTGCTGGCCTGGCGGGTGGAGCACAACAAGCGACTGGATCCGCGACTCGCAGCGCCGATGGCTTCGCATCGAGCAGAAAAAATGGCGAGCGATGCTGAAGGATGGCGAATCTATCGTCGGAGACTGGAACTTGCTCTGGCAGAGGTTTTGTGTCCTCTCTGGTCTCTGGGTGGATGTTCCATCTGCGTGGGTAGTAGTAGGAATATGGTAGGAATTTGAAATGCTAGAAAGCTCTGAATTGCGACCTTGGTGTGGGTCTCTCACCACGATAAGACGATGAGTTGTGCGTGTAGCGAACTTGAATCCTTCGAACTGTAAGCCTCGGCTTGGTTTGCTGGATGCCTTGGCCCTCGAATTGAAACGGCTAAGGACAACCCCTCGACCCCAGCCTCAAGAGATAGTCCCTCCAACCCTCCCTCCGAATATGTAACTAGTAGCAATGCCCTTAGTTACTAGCTACTAGCAGCTTTACTAATAGCGATGCCAGGAGCTACTAAGTACAAAACATCCGGGGTTGAAATAGATTTTAGGCCTTGGGCCCGTCACACCAGTGCCCCCTCTCAGACCCTCCTCCATCACTTGCCGCGATCTGCCGGGCCTGCAGGTCACGACGAACACATCAGGAAGACACATCAAACGGATGCTCTGTTCGGAAAAATACGGTATATAGATGAGCATCGTCTAACAAGTGGGCTCCATCCTTGAGAACGAAGTACAATGCGAATCTGTTCAAGCTGATCACTTCTGCATTCACCCAAAACATGTGCAATTCGCTCGCCACTGCCTTTTGACGCCGCCTATCTCTGCCATATCATCATGGCCGGTGCTGATGTCTCTACACCCTTTGGGTCCTGAGACCAAAAAATGGCACCGAAGACATGAACTTGGGCTCCAAGCCTTGAGCTTGGAGGGAAGTTCGCCGAGCTTCCAAGAGAGACAGGGAACAGCCGGGCAGCGGAAATGAGGAAATGAACAGAAATGCCTTTGAATGTGTAACTTCAACTGTCAGTGTTAGAATGAGATGGGTCTTCGGGCACAGGAATTTGGTCCGAACCGGAATCTCTCATAGAAGCTCTTAAATCGCACCGCGGAGATCAAACAGCACTAGGCTTGTCATGTATGGCCGTCCATGGACTGCACGGTCGGTATTTCAGGAGAGCTCCGAGCCTCCGACACTTGGCAATGACAAGCTTCGAGCAAAAGCCCTCCGAGATTCCCGGAAGTCCTTGATTTGCTTCTCAAGGCGTTCCATCTCATGTTGCTTGCGGCGATGCTCCTTGAACCACCTGGCGCCTGAGGGTGTTTGATAAGCCTTCCGCTCCGCATAGATCTTCTCGCGGTAGATGGTCAATGCCTCGTGCGGCAAATACCGACAGGCCACGCCCGGATAGGTCTGGACCTTCGTAGGGTCGGGGGGCGAACCAAAGCTCACAGCGTTGATCGATGGCTTCGCGGCCATGGCCCAATGGACACCGAACGAGCTTGCAATGCGAAGCGAGCTTTCAAAAGCCTAAGAGCCAGAGCTGCAGAATCGCTCCATGAACGTCGCAAATGAAACGATAGGGCTGTCAAACTTTCAGAAACTCTTCCAAGCATCTTCAGACTCTTTCAGAGACAAAAGAAAGAATGAGCAAGAAAAGTTGCGAATGAGGTCCCCCTGAAGATCGAGTTTCTGGCCATCCTACATTCGAGGCCAAGAGTGACTGTCCAAAGACTGGCCAGTGAAATCAGGATCAAAACAACCACTGCCAGGGCACATAAGCAGAATTAATGGCCTTCATTGGTGCCAGCATGAGCCCAACAGGTTCGCTCGCACGTCCCGCCTCTCGACCGCTGGTTTGGTACCCTGTCGCACTCCACATTTCATGATATCGATGACCTCAGAGCGGTGCAAACGGCACCCTTGGACAAATCTGAGTAGCAATCTCCTCAAATCATTTGATCCAAAGCCGGGAAGGAGCAGCGTCATCTGAAGTATGTCCGCTGCGTGGATGTCCATCATCCAAAAGTACCCCCGCCAAAGACTTGAAATGGTGGAATATGCTGGAAGCGAGACACAACGAACCATCACATCACCCCAGCTTCCACACCACCTCTGCCCACCTCCACGAACCCACGATGGGCGAGAGCCCGGCATGCTCGTCGCGGTAGGCCGACAAAGGGCTCATGAAGAGGGGGCACCTCGAGCGTGGCGGGCAGTTGGGACGTCCCACCTTTCGCACAATTGCGACCACCCAGCTCTTGGGCTCTTCGGCCATAGGCAGCCAATAGGAGGTGTTTCTTGAGCGTATTAAGCATACAGGATATTGTGAGGTCTCTACGCACACAAAGCCATCGGAAGGGGTGGGAGCCGTCGACGGAGGGGCTGACCTTTGCAACTCCCTCCAGTGCATCTAGTGTGGATGTGGAGGCTGATGATTCTGCCTGCTGTTGCCTTATAGTGAGATCCAAGCCAGAGTGCAGGCACGCGCGCTTTGCACGCATCTTCGTTCGCCTCTTTGGGCCGTTTACGGACGCCAAACGCGCCCTGAACTCACCTCTGCCATAATGGGCCAGCGAGTGTTCACGGGCCTTTCTCTGGCCCAGCAAGTCAGTCAATGTCAGTCCATCTGCAGCGGGCGGTGTTGCCAACCGTAGAGGCCCTTGTAGGTGTCATAAAGCGTCTGCACTGCTGCGACGACGGCCTCACGTGGGAGAATCAAGCCAGTTGCAACGGCAGAGCAAGCGTCAAAGACTTGGAGGACGGCATAACAATATATAACAATCACAAAGATTCACAAAGGTGGACTGTCTGGAATGTTATGCCGTAAGACTCTAAGACTGTATTATACTACATGTCTGTAAGACTGTCTGAAAGCTCAAATCATCCGAGCTGCATCGTGTGTTGTATTGATGTTGTCACCAGGCTCAATGGGGTTCCCCACGGCATAAAGCAGTTGCTTCCTGAAGGGTCATCGCGTCGCAGCGCGCACATCACGGCCCAATACCCCCAGACCGGTCCCCCATAAACCCTGGCGGCCACCCGCTCATCCTCCAGACCGTTGATAGAAGCCCCCAAGTCATCGTAGCTTTCCACAGTGGAGGAACTTGGGAACTGTTCGATCCATTTCCCATACGTCTCGAGTGGTTGCTGAGCTGAAGACCACACTGAATACTTTCGTCAGAAGTTGCTTTCAGTCAGGACAGTTTCAATAACTCAAACCCTCGGACTCGAACCAACCCTACGACTCAGCCAAGAGGCTTCTGTGGCACCAGCGATCCAAAGCGGCCATAGGGCAGGATGATGCTGGCCTGAATCCAGCGGCTCAACCGTTCCTCAGATGATCTGTCTCCGTCGGTCCGATTTCTCAGCCTGCAGGGGCTTTGTAGGTTGAGGATGGTGATGAGCTGAGAATGTCACACACTAACTACATCAGGGAAATGCAGCAATGTCAAATCTTGGCACGGAACTTTCCAAACAGCAGGAACACGGGTCTTGCCTTACCCACCAGCTTGGAAAGACTGTCCGCCTTCCCTAGTCTTTGCCCCCCCGCCCCGCCACTCTCCCCGCATTTGGGCTGGGCATCTACCCACCGCGGCAAGGGCACCTGGCTCCAAAGCACCGACTGGCCAAACACATAAACTGGGACGATGGGCACCTTCTGTTGCATGGCGATCCGCACGAAGCCTCCAGGCGAGGCAGCTCCGACGCACAAGCGCAGTAGGAATGGAACACAATCCAGGTCGCCCCTCCCTTGCTAAAACATGTTGTCTCATCTTCCAAACGTGCATCTTTGAAAGTCTCCGCAATAGCGCGTCCTATGCTCACATCTACGTGCGTATGTATAGGTATGCAAATATCATCATACTATATAATATATATATATATATATGTATGTATGTATGCATGTCTGCATGTCTGTTTGTCTGTCTCTGTCTCTGTCTCTGTCTCTCTCTCTCTCTCTCTGTCTCTGTCTGTCTCGGTCTCTGTCTGTCTCTGTCTGTGTCTGTCTCTGTCTGTCCTGTCTCTGTTTCTGTTTGTGTCTCTTTCTCCCTCTGTCTGTCTCTCTCTGTGTCTGTCTGTCTATCTGTCTGTCTGTCTGTCTGTCTGTCTGGTCTGGTCTGGTCTGGTCCTGTCTGGTCCTGTCTGGTCCTGTCCTGTCCTGTCTGTCTGTCTGTGGTGTATGTATACCAAATCGCTCGCTCTCTCTCTCTCTCTCTCTCTCTGTGTGTGTGCATTTCCCCGCAGAGTTTGGCAAAACACGGGTGCGTCAAGGGCAAAGCCAACTCAAGCTTTAGAATATTTTGTTGCAACCCTCTCTTACTTCATCACAAATTTGCGGTTCCACGAAACACGTGAGTCGCAGAATGCCAATGTAAGTCCCAAAGTGCCAAATCTTATAGTTTTTGTATGTAGTGTAGTGTAATGTAATGTAATGCAATGTAAGGAAATGCAATGTAATGTAATGTAAGGTATGATATATGTATACCGTATACCTATATAGTCGGTAACTGCAGTCACTAGTCACTACGTTGACGCATGCATGCATGCATGCATGAATGTAAAGCACAGTGCTGCCTCAAATGTGCAAGTGCAGGGCGCGCCTTTGCGTGACCGCAGCAGCAAATTCTCCTTCGTGCTATCTGTACGCACCATCTCAGCAACGCCACCTCCATGTTTTGTGCCAAAATAACTTTGGCTGCCACACTCGACCGGGATTTCCAACACATCTCACTGGGCTCTTGGATTCGCTGCGTGCTATCTAGAAAGACTCATCTTAAACCTGCTGCAGGGTTTTGGCGCTATCCCAGCCTGGGAACAGGCCGATGGAATCGCCACCGTTCAATGCCTTCTGGATGGAGGTAGCATCTGCCGGGATGGTGTTGATCCAGCCCATCAGTTGCCGAATGACCTGCAGATCTTCGACGCAAATGACCCAAGGCCCCTGTGTGCACATGTGCCTGCGCCCACATGCTGCTAGCTTAAACACGCGCTCAGAAAGACCCAAAGCACAGGGGAAACAACTCGATGCCCTCAGGGCTGCTCTTGCTCACGTTTTTCATCTACAACATGCCCTCATTGCCACGAGCAGTTTGACGCGAACGAAGAAGTTGGGGTTCGACATCTTCATCTACATTTTGTTACCCACAAAATGTAAAGGGTCGTTTCTTGTTACTAGTAGTAAGAATGCTCCTAGCAGCAATGCCAGGAGCTACGTTCGTAGCGATGCCCTTTGCTCCGAATAGCTTCCGCTGCAGCGACGTCTTCATCCCCACCAAGCCCTCTTCCTGTCCGCTCCGCTTCGCTTCAACCACCGAGGCCCCACGCCGGGACTCGGAAGGAGACCCAGGCCGCGGCGATGCGCATGCGCGGAAACAGGTCACGCATGCCGGCGATGCTGGCACAGGCCCCACTGAAGGGGTAGAGGCCGTGGGGCATGAAGAGGTAGATGTATTGCCTGCGTTTGGGGATTTCCTGGAGGCGCCATCACCCAAAAATGTTGAAAGAAAACGTGGAAGGTTTTCTGGCGGTCTTTCACCCCCTCCAGCTTCATGAAACCAGTGAATGGTTCTTGGAGTCCTGTGAGGCCAAGGTGCTTGGGAGGCAATGGCCTCCCAGCCTGGTACACGAGGCCCACGGAGAAGTAGTCCAACCACCAGCGGAAGAAGGCGCTTCCCATGACCCAAGGCCTGGGGATCGTTGGGATGAACCTCGGCTGGATAGGAGCGGCTCAGGGACCTGGACGCCGCGCCGCGTGGGGAAGGACCCAAGGACCCAAGGACCCAAAGCACAAGTGCATGAGCAGGTTTGCAGAGCGGATGGCCTTGCACTTAAATCCCTCTTTAAGTGGGGCTAGCGGCTAGCGGGCTGTCCCGCTTGGAAATACTGTCAGTTTAAATGGTCAACACGGGTGAAACGCTCAAAGCCATTCAATGCCCAAGCACATCAAGAAAAGATACAACGCCAGCAACCCCCCAAAGTGTCGCCATCTGGTCGAACGCTCCTCCGGCTTGCTGCGGCAGGCCTCATGGGAGTAGATGCCGAACGGTGCGACAACGGTGAAGCAGCCCACGTGGATTTTTGCAGCGAAGGATCCGGTGTACAAATGCTTTTATATATATATATATAGTATATAACACGGAAGTTCCTGTACTGCTACACCCAGGGAAAGAAAGGCAGGTCGGCCAATGAGGGTTATGGCAGTTATGGTGGCCTGGTGTTGATTCGGGCGGACGGAGTAGAATATATTCTATTAGAATGACTCCGTGGAGTCCACGTGCCCTGGGTAAAACATAAGTGTTCGCATTTTACTTTGGTATTATTTTTGTTGTTTTATCATGTTTTATCTGGTTTGTAAAGGAACAGGAAAAAGGACAAGCAAAGGGCTCTTACATCTGGCAGCTGTGCCTCGGACTTCACATTCCTCTGATGAGCAGAACAAAGGTTGAAATGGTCAGCCGGGGTTGGCCAAAGCCACAACTGCAAAAGGCAAAAGCTATCCCAAAAAAAAAGTAATACCAAGTTTAAAACAAATCAAAAATAAATATAATATACCCTCCAAAATATAACATATCATATTCCGGTAATGGGGGTTCTGCACCCGGGAAAGTAGACATTGCCCGGTCCGCAAAATCTGGATAAGGAGACCCCCAGCTCGACCGAGCTGCTCACGTCCGAGTGAACCCCGGCCTTCCAAAAGAGGTACATCAGCAGCATTGGCAGCATGGGCACACTGCCAATGGCCACCAGCGCCTCTAAAATGATCGCCAGCTCGCTCCGCCATGTCAATGGCCGCCTGGGTGAATGTTGCTTTCTCAGTCCGAGTCCAATCACCACCCTCCCTAAATCTGACCTCGCAGGGTTGCCCACAAGCGATCTGCTGAATGCAACATCCAGCTCCGGTAAAACTGGCAACTGGTCGAACCATGGGGCAGAACTTACAGTAAGTGTCCCTAAAATCTAGGAACCAAATGATTAGTGATCAGTGCAAGCGCTTTTTCAAGGAATCTCCCCTCGGCCCTGAGGCCGGGGGAGCTTCTTTTAATAGCTACTTAAGCTACTAGCTACCGTTTGCTACTACCTCTTAGCGGCACTATCAAAATAAGAAAGTCGAAGGCTTCCCCCACGTCCGCCACGCCACACTCCGCTGGGACGATGTACCACATCCATGGCCCGGTGCGACCCGTGAGGTCAGCGAGGGTTGCAAGGACTAAACACGTAACGCCCGTGAGGTCAAGTTGGCCACCGTAAAAGATCGGGGCTAAAATATCTGTTCAATTTCTGGTGAAGTTGGCCACAGCACCTTAGCAGAGCTCTTGGAATCTCTCACCTGGAATCTCACGCATTCTGGAATCAACTCCAACAATGCAGGGCACTTGTGCGGGGGATTCCTTCGATGTTCAATCACGGTTCAACCTGGTCTTTGACTGTTTTCATGTGTCTTTTATAGCTGACTGTCGCTGCTCCGCCCATGAGCCTAAAGGTCTATGACGAAGAGAGGTTGGGGCAATTCTGTCACGGGTGCTTCCTCTGGACCACCTCTGTCTGCAAATCCAAACAATTACCTAGATTACAGTACATGTCAACCCCCATATGAAGAGGCTTACATTGTTTTACGATCCAATTGGATCCAAATGGTGTGTTTAGTTACTGTGATCAAAGAGTCCACATCGCATTATGTTTGTTGTCCTGAGTAGTGAGTGAATCAAAGTGAGTAGCCTGAGACCAGCCATATGTCTGCCAGAAAGCACAGACGAATGTCGTAGCACCTGTATACCAGTGGCATGCTGCGTTCTAGCGTTTTAGCTTGTGGTTTAATATCATTACCGTCATTTCCTGCTTGGACTACCTATGTCCAAGCACAATCCTTGAGATTCTTGTGCAAAATCATCATGAACCCTCGACATCCCAAAAAGAACAACTATATCTCTTCGGCTCAACCGAGGCCCCATGCGGCTGCCATTTCTCTTCCACCAGCTCTGCCCCCGTGGCCATGGCCACGGCCTGCGCGGTCGGGACGATGGGCATCGGTGACGATGGGCATCGAGTGTGCGGCAGGGGTCCAAAAGTGATAGACTGCATCCAAGTGCCCCCGTCACCTTCAGGACCGGGTAAAGAATTTCAATGTTCAGTGAAGACCAACACACGAAAGACTCCTCAGTCTGTTTGAAGACTTGCTTTCTTTCTCAACGAAGTGCCTCCAAGGCTCAACGTTGGGCCTTCTGAAGCCCACCGCTTGCTCAAGCCAGAACAGCCATGGCAAATCTTGGGATCATTGGGGTGCAGGATCTGATCCCGTGCTGATGTTCACAGAGTTGTCCGCATGTGGCACCACTGCGCTGAATTCGGCAGACCCTTGCAATCACAAAACCTGGAATAAAACTGCAAAGCGGTCTATCCTGCCTCACAGCACCGGAAAAAAAAATTGAGTCCTCTGCCTCTACTGAGTCCGGCGACACATCATCCCTCATGCTTGGCGCACGCAAGCAACCTCCTTTTCCCACGTCGCTGCCGGGATATCTTCCGTCAAGAGCAACACCTTGCGTGCCTCCACGTGTAGGCTCGTCTGAATCGTGGGAGGTCTGCAGCACTTGCCAGTGGGCTTGATTTCTATATGGTCCTCCTCTTGTGCCAGCGGCACAGCTGGCCATGCAAACATCTTACTTATGACTCTTGCACGAATGCCACAACCAAAATAGAATGTTAGGAAGTTGGGAATGCTTGAGAGTCTTGTCCTTTGTGAGAAACACTGGCCAGCTTGGGAGTATTTGCCCAAGCTAGCTCAGAGACCCGCCCACGTGTTGTCATCCCACTTCTGGGAGCTTCAGCAGCTACAGTCGGGCGGCTGGGGCAGATTTGGAGGCTCCCCCAGAAGTGTGGGGATCCCAACTTGCCCAAAATGTGAGGTGTGCGACGATCTATTGTTTTCATGTTGTTCAAAGGGTGTGGACGCACCCCGGAATGCACTTAAGCTCCTCCAAAGTGCCATTCTCTGTGCCCAGCAGCCCTTCGGCCACTTCACTGACTGGCACAATGATGTCGCAGAGCAAATGACACATGTCCCGTGGCCGTGTCGTGTCTGGCAGTCCCACACACTCGATCTCAGCCAAAGAGGATGTGGCTTCTGAAGTTTGTTGAGTCGGTCTTGTCAGCTGCATCACACTGCTCCCAACTCCCAACCATAAGGCTCTAAGTTACTCTTGCTTTCGGCCCCACCTGGTCTTCTCAGCCTCCTCAGGCTCCACCCTGAGAGTCGTTATGTTAGTGGTGGGGCAATGGTCTCTTTGAAGGGAGGTTGTGAATGTGAAGGAGCCCAGAAATGCTTCACGGGTGGACGCATGACCCGAACCCCAGTCAGAAGAGGCTGCGTTGAATGCCGGATGGGGTATGGCTCGGCATGACGCTATCGAAGAGCAGGAAGCTACAAACTCCATTGCTACGATTTGCTGTGGACATTCATGCTCAGTCCCACTGCCACTCTCCTAAACTAGTTTTTGAATGTTTTTGGTGGGATGTCCTACAGTACATCAACATCAAAGTGACTTACCATGCAGGCATGCTGAATCCAGCACCGAATTATCCAGCTCCAAAAAACTCAGAAAGGCCCTCTAGGCCCACGGCGTGCGCGGGCGCTTAGACACATGGCCCAGCGACTTCGCCCCGGCCTCTGGCAAAGGGCCACTGAATGATGCATTCTGGCATTCTTCTCAGAAGTTCCCAAAGTTCCAAAGGTGTTCGCCTCCCGCCCTTCAATACTGCAAAAAGAAAGCCTCTGAACCACGTCAACTGCCTGTTTTCAGTTAGGATCGGAAGTCAACCGGTCGGGTTCCTGGTAGCTAGCAGCTGGTCAGAATGGCGGTGTGCCGCAAACCCCCGCACCACACGTGGACTTGCCCTACCCCCTGAGTCCAAACGTCTCCGAGGGCCTCAGTCTGCTTCTCGGACCCTTCCTCCGCTTGAGCCTCACTGGGGCTCTCAAGGGCCAGTGAGACAAGGGCCACGGCTTTAAGAAACTTCTACAGCAACACCTGCAGTTCGTCGGGGCCGCCATGTGTGTATATATATATATATATGTGTGTGTGTGTGTGACGATATATATATATATATATGGTAAACACTCCCAGGGGTGCATTGTCCGGATGCATCTGGATGCGTGTGTGGCTTGTCCGAGCTGAGCCAAGACACAAGACATCCACTCCGCCTGGGCTCGTCGCTGGACTCCGCTCTGGCTGGGTCACCCTGCTGAATCGTCGGCATCTTTTTCCTGCCCGCTTTTGACACAAAGGACTACTCCCACACCAGAAAGGTTGGGATCAGCAACTTCAAAACAGGCAGGTCTTCCCACGGCTTTCGCACGTGACATCGCCATCCTCATCAGCATAACCTCCCAGGAGTCCAGGCAATCCTTCACCTTGGAGCCAGTGTTGCAACAGCACGACTCTGTCGAGAACGGCTCTCCTGCTGATTGAGGTTGATCATCGAATTCGTTGTATATATATATATATATACACATTATGTGCATATATATATATAGCTTTGATTTCTGCAAGAACCTCTGAGGGGTGGACTCTTCTCCTTGCCGTTGGGCGGTGGCTCCTGCCCACAGCAAGTACATGCCCAGTTGCGAAGCAGCTTGGGCCAGCTTGGGCATCTTCTCGCTGCATTTTGCTCTGGGTTTGGCCAGAACTTGTGGTGGACCAAAAACATCTCACCACAGCATCTTGTGCATCTTTGTAGCGGGTTGCTGCAAGGTTACTTGGTCCCTGAAACTGCGAGGTGATTGTTGACTCACATCCAGCTAAATCCTGCCGGTCTGTGCTGCTGACCATGTCCATCACCCTTCTACAGTAATTATTGTCTGCCCGATTCTGCATTAAAAAAAAGGAAGCACAATAAAATACGAAACAGGTTCTGGAACCCAGACCAAAAAAGGAATCGAAAACAAATCCGAGAACCCTGCCTTTCGTGTCTCTGGCTATCATCGGACCCCGCGTCAAATGGTGTGAAGCGATCAACCCCGGTGTTTCCCAACATCTCCTGGTGACCAGTGGCCAGGTATGTGGTGAGACTTTATCGGGGTTTTCACCTTTCTATCCTCGGTCTCTCGTTCTTTTGGCGACTCAACGACCAATGACTCCCACGTCTGCAGCGACGCTAAGCGCCTCATCATCGTCCAAGGACTCGAAGTAGCTGTCGTCCTCCGCGGCGTCGTCGCGCCCGGGGCTCCGCATCCGCCTGTGGGGCTCGCAAAAGGAAATGCCACTGGCACTAGGCCCTCCGGAGATTGAAATTGCTTTTGGTGTTCACCAATGCGCGACTATCTCATTGCGACAATCTCTTCTAACTGCGGGCCTTGAACGCGATTTGCCACCTCCTTAGGGAAGCAAGCGATACCACTCGTGTCTGGCCCGACCAAGTGCAGTAGCAAAGCACAGTGCCAGGCGTTTTGGAGTCTTATTGCCAAGACCTTCTGTGAAGATACAACCAGCGACCAGTTCGATACTCCTCCAAAAAAAAATATTCACACGCTTGGCGTGCATAGACCAACGCGAAATTGGTCCTCCTACTCCTATCGTGGCTCCTCGCCATATTCTCCGACCAACACTTCAGACTTCATCGACCGATCCTTTGGGACGTCCACTTCGACACGTTTCTTCCACCATCGACTCGCACCAGACTCACGACTCGGCAGCTGACCGTCGATCGGGCCCCCCGAAGCGTGCTGCTCGGGGGGGTATTTCTCGACCTCCAGGTTCTGCTGGTATTTCAGCAAGAGCCTGGCGAAAAGGGCGGTCGGCTGACCTCATCGTTGGGAGACCTGACACACTGGAAATCTCACATCGTCTTTTGGAGATGTTTGGAGCGTTGGAGACCTGCACACGGCATCGGTCCTGTTTCTGTTTCGGACATATCTGGGACTAGGTCACTGGAGATCTGCCCAAAAAGATCCACGCACTAAGACTGTGCCAATTCGACGTGGGTACAAGCCAATGGAGTCAATGGATACACAAACAAGATCAAACAAGTGGCCAGCCAGAGGGAAGCCAGTCAATGTGCCCCCAGTCACAGCCCCAATTCCTGACAGAAAGGTTCTTAGGTGACATCCTGATCTGTTTTGTTGAAAACGCATCCCAAACATCGCCACAAACACACCCTTTCGGCCGAAGGATGGCGACGACTCGACGACCATCGATGGCCGCGATGGCCCAGTGATGCGTCCTTTGACTCAAGACTCTCAAGACCTGGACACACGCCCATCATCAAGGTATAAAGTTTAAAGCGCCAAAGCTACAACTCGAGCGGTTTCATCCGGCTCGCATAGCGCTGGAGCAGTGGCCTTGGAGACCATCGAGCTGGGCCGAGGCTCGTCATACATGCGTGTGTCTGTGTGTGTACCCCTTGTGGTCACAGGGATCCGTTTGGACTGTGCTCTTAATTTTTATCCTTCGTTCAGCAGGGGGGCTGGTTGTTCATGCAAGTACCAGCCCAACGAAGAGGCTTGCATTGGACACTGATATCGGCGGGGACGCTCACCGACGTACCTGCTTTCTTCGAACTTTTGAGCTTTTGTAAAGGGCTAGTGAGCTCCGCAGACTTGCACGCTACGACGTCACCCTGTCGCTCCGACTCCGGCTTGTGCTTTGGGCCCCATTTCCTTTTGAACAACCCCAGGATCCGATGGTTGTTACTTATACTCTTGGGAACTGGTACCCTAGGCCGGCGTGTGGCACCGCTTTCAGTTCAGCACACCCTATCCTAAGTGTGTCTGGCCTCGGCCAGCCCGGGATGAGCCCGAAGAGTGCCTCCCGTGGACCCGTCAAACAGGGGTTTGTCGTTATCTCCCCTGCCTGGAGATGTACGTGCCCAGAGCGGGCGTAGGTGGCCTAGGCCGAGAGAACTCAGATTTTTGTCCAAATTGGGAATTCCAAGCTGGCCCATGTCTTTACGTGACCGCAGTGGTCTGAGCAGCCAGCCATTTTGGCACGGCGTACGTGGCGGTAGCGGCCCCAGTTCGTTTAGACTCATTGGAGTCTGTCGCACTCTCAGGTGCACACACAGCGTATACACTTTAACAAGGTAGGTCTTCCTAGGTCGTTGTAATGAGGTTTGGTTTCATCGGTTCCCGTCCCCTTCATTTGGTTCCCCTTTTTCATCCTTTCGCCCTTCACACACTTCTTTTTCCTCTTTCTTTTCATGCCTTCCCTTGCTTCATGTCCTGTCATCTCACTTCTTTCTTTCTCTTGCGCGCACAACGGTCCGGGCCTTAGTTTGTACGCGCACATCCACTGTACACTTAGGTCTCAGGTCGCCCAGGTTCTGATAATGAGGTTTGGCTCACTGTTTGTCCCTGTGCACCTGGTTCCCTCTTCTTCGCAACCACATACACTTTTGTCCTGTCTTGTCCTCTTTTCATGTCTTCATCTTTTTGTCCTTGGTTGCGTGCACCTGTGCACACACGTCTTAACCTTATTAGTTTTCGCTCCCCTCGGGGAGGCGTGTGTGTGTGTGTGTACCCCTTGTAGTCACAGGGATCCATTTGGATTGTACTCTTAATTTTTTCCTTTGTTCAGCAGGGGGCTGGTTGTTCATGCAAGTACCAGCCCAACGAAGAGGCTTGCATTGAACACTAATATCGGTGGGGACGCTCACCGACGTACCTGCTTTCTTCGAACTTTTGAACTTTTGTAAAGGGCTAGTGAGCTCCGCAGACTTGCACGCTGCGACGTCACCCTGTCGCTCCGACTCCGGCTTGCACTTTGGGCCCCATTTCCTTTTGAAGACCCCCAGGATCCGATGGTTCTTACTTATACTCTTATGAACTGGTACCCTAGGCCGGCGTGTGGCACAGATTATGGATCGCGCAATGAAATCAGTGCGGTTGGACCTTGAAAGGAGCTATTCTGAGCCTTGCAGTTGGACCCTGGAGTTCGAAATCAACATCTCAGAACATCTCAGAATCACATCTCGCGAGGAACTCTGCTCCAAGCGTATGGTTCTTGCAGATGGTCTCCACCTGGGCTGGGCACGACGCTGATGCACTTCTAGTTAGTATGGGGGTGGGAAGCTTGGCACGACCAAAAACCAAACGGATCCCAAGTCCAAAAGCCAGAGCGTGCTACAGTAGCCAAACCCTTGTCGGCCCGAAGGGTGCAAAGGACTCCAACGTCGGGGTTCAAACCCGAATGCGCCCCTTCCAGCCTAAAGCAACTGGAACAGAGCGAGCCAACTTGCGGAGCTTCGTGGACCCCTTCTGTCACCAGTGGCCACTTCTACAGTGCACTCTGCCCGTTCAGTCCTGTTGTTCAATGGATGGGTACCGGGTGAAGTGGCAGTATGGATCCAAACAGGGTGCACTGTTCCCTGTTCCCATCCATCCTGGGCTTCTGACCAAAACCTTTAAATTCTGTTGCCGGATGAACTCCAAGAGCTCCAAGGTAGCGCTGGCCATGAGATTGGTGCCTGACATAGAACCGATCATGAACTCAAAGTGAGACCGTGTGTGCCTCCAGTGGTAGCAGAAGCTCAGCTCTACTGCTCGACTTTAAATCGCAAGGAGGAGGACTTCTATTTACTAACTTGCCAGCCGAAAATACACAATCAATCCTACACCTAAGCAGACCGAAATGAGTTCTAAAAGGCATCTTGAGGTTAACTCGGTGTTCGATGGCGTTGGTAGGAGTTCTGGGGGGGGGTCCCCGGAATCATCATGGAAGTGGATGGCATGGCCCCGATTTCGGATGACCATTTTCCTCTACAAATGCAAGAAGCTGCACTTTCCTTGCACTTTCCTGAGGATTCCGGCAAGTTTTAGTTGCAAAGTCCTGCACAAAGACAAGCTCCAACGGCTCTGCCATTCCCTCCCCACTCCCGCTCGCCTAATGCTGGAGGCATGATGCACTTCTCAAAACCTGGACACGTCGAAGAGTGGCTCATTCAGGGCCAATGTGACTGCGCTGCCCGGGACTTGATATGCGATATAATAGAGGTCCTCCCTGTTCAAAACTGCGTAGAGATGTGGTAACTAGTAATCATAATCAAGAGTATGCTGTATGATCTTGGGCCCAACCCTCCTCAAGCCCCCATACAAACAGTGATCCCGGGCTCTGCAGGAGCAGCGTGAGCAAGTTGTTCTTGGACACGTACCGCACGTACGCCTCATCCTCCAGCTCCGCCGGCTAGGTTCGTGAAAGCCAGCAAACCAAGTGGAGATAGTATGAAACCACCCCTGGTGGACCATCCTGCTGTCAGTGCTGTTCTGAGTTGTGATGCATTCTATCTTGTAGGTTAGGCTCCGAAATCTAGATCATCTGAAATCCTTATCAGGTACGGCTCACCATGATTGGAAGAACACTTATATATATATATACTGTATATATATATACATATGAACGGAGCATCCCGAGACCCAACTGAGATCCACCGTGGACACTGGACACCCCTCGGTGTCAAAGCCTTGGTGCCAATGATGGCTCGTAGCACCCGCACGGCAGCAAGCTGCAGGTACTTCTGTGGCGCCTCAGGACGCGCGGTCGCCGATGGCCGGAGCGGTGGTGAGGGACCAGGTCCTTCACATGCCTGGCAGGCACAGAAGGACCCCACCACTGTCACCATCTCGCAAGTAGAACAGCTGGAAGTTCCGGGAGCCCCCGCAGACAGAAGCCGGCAAACTTGTTGCCCTAGGCCATGTCTGATAACATAGACCTGGCCATGTCGGCTGTCAATAGCTGAAATGCCAGGAGAAAACTATGCACAATCTTGGGCAGGGTAAATGGGATCCATGCGGACAGAAAACCCTATTCGACATCCTGTCTATCCTTGTGCCTTGATTCATGGTGAACAAACAAGGGTATATACATATATATAGCCACAAAATGAACAGTATTGAAAAGAAACAAGTGACTCAACTCAAGAACTCAAATCCAAGACAGACTCAAAACAAACTCAAACAAAGTTCGACAAAAAAGAACTCGAGGACAAACTCATTATTCTTTCAGTTTTGTTGAGTTCTTTTGGAATTTGCTTCAAGTTTGTGAGTCTGATTTGAGCATGTTTCAAGCTTTTGACAGGACAAACTCAAATTAGACGCAAAACAACTCAAATTAGAGTCAAATCAGACTCAAAAAGAACTCAGAAACAACTCAAAAGTTGTTCTTTCAGTTTTTCCTGAGCTGTTTCTTGAGGGGTCTAATTAGGATTTCTCACATGTCAGTTGCTCAGTGGTTGTAGTATGTCGCTGAGTTTTGGTAGGTTATTGAATTGAGACATTTTCCCCCACTGATCCCTTGCTGTCTGGGATCATGTGGTCACAAGCCTATCCACCTGGAGGAGAAAAAAATGCCATGCGGCGAAACCAAACGTCGTATGTATGCGTGTATGTATGTAAGTATGTATGCATGCATGCATGGATGGAAGGATTGGTGGGTGGATGTACGCAGGTAAGTATGTAGGTACGTAAGTATGCATGTAAGTAAGTAAGTAAGTAAGGTAACGTAACGTAACGTAACGCAACGCAACGCAACGTAACGTAACGTAACGTAACGTAACGTAGAGTAAGTAAAGTAAAGTAAGGTAGGTAAGTAAGTAAGTTAAGTTTAGTTAAGTTAAGTTAGGTTAAGTTACGTTAAGTTAGGGTAGGTTAGGTTAGGTTAAGTTATAAAGGTTAAGTAAGGAAGTAAGTGAATAAGTAAGTAAGTATGTTTGTATGGATGCATGGATGTATGTATGCATGGATGTATGTATGTCAGTATGTATGTATGTATTTGTTTTTTAGGGTGGACTTTTCAGCATGCTCACGAGAGGTCTTTTGACCTGGGTCATTTTGACCGTGGAGCTACGGCAGGCCTCATCGATGCATGGGCTGTTGATGAAGTCAGTCCAGGTAGCCTCCTTAGATCTCTTACGTGATGGCACATCCGCAATGCTGGCACTTGATGTAGCCCGCGGTTTCGATGAACCAGTGTTTGCCCTCCTGTCGCTCCGGTGGCTGGGCGGCAAGCAGCTCTTGAATGAGCTGGGTCCTGGTGGCCCTCTTGGGAATCTTGCGGTCTGGAGTCTCATTCTCACCGTCAGCTGGAGGAAGGTTGCGTTTGCCTTCACATGGTTCAGCAAGCCTCTGCTCAATTGTGGCTGCCGTGAGGCCTTGAGCGATACGAGCGCTGCAATGAGCACACTGGTAGCCACTCCGATGCTTGGTCCAGCGGCGGCCTTCCTCAGTGGGTGGTTCAGTGCACTTGTGTACCAAGCGCTTCTTGTACTTTTTGGTGTTGGTGGCTTGTGATCGCTTGGGCTTGTCGTGAATGTAGTGAGCTGGGTCTTTGTAGATGGCTGTGATACGCTCAACGGCGTACTGGTAGGCCTGCTGGTGATCCTCATCGAGCTTGGACTTGTCATGGGGCTCGTTTGCCCTCTCCCACGCTGTCAGTCCTGCATCCCTTTGCCTCCGGCGCAAGTGTGGTTCTGCGCCAGGCTGATCTGGAGTTCGAGCTTGGGCACTGACATACAAAGCCGTCTGCAAGGCAAACCAGAGTGGCAAAGCCGGGTATTTGAGCTCTTGGGCTGCGGCTGCAAGGGTCTTGAGATCAATGCAGTCGTAGAAGGTGCTCAAGTCCATGAGGGCCGTGATGCCGTGACTGCCCCGGGCCTTGTTGACCTCCTGACGGAGAAGCCTGGCTAGTGCCACGTGGAGGACATGGGCGCCAGGTCTGGCACAGTCATAGTCCATGCTGATTGGTAGATGGATTTGCCACTGGTCCATCAGGTCTTTTCGCAGCTTGCATCAGAGACGATAGACCGTGGAGGTCAAAGTGATGGGGCGCTCACACTGCTCATTTTTGGGCAGCATCACAATCAGGCTTTGAATCATCTGGGTTGGCAAAATGCCATGGAGCTCGTAACATCTGAGGGTCTGCCGAAGGGGTTGCAGTGCTTGAGGTGGCGCCGTGCGCAAGAGCTGGGTTGGGATGCCATCTGGTCCAGCTGCTCTGTCAGGGAGATGCTTGAGAACATGGGCTAAATGTCCAAGAGAAATCTCCGGCAAGGTAGCAGCGTGCTGGCGCGCTGCCTGCAGCAGTTGTTCGGCATTGGGAAGTGGTACAGGATCTCTGGTGTCTCTGATGTGCCATAGCTTGGCCCAATCTTGCATTCTCTGAGGCATTCGTTGTTGGACTTCAAGTTGTCGATACGGCCGCTGCCAGGCAAGCTCGGAAGCTTTGAGACATCGAAAAAGTCCTCGGAGGCCCTTGGCTTCCCCTTTGAGTGAGCCATTATTGGTATTTCATCCCTGGCCTGCAAATGGGCTTCTGTGATTTGATGCTGAATGGTGTGCATCAGCAGTTCGGCAGATCGGTCGTCATGATACCGCCTCCAGTGATGAAGGATGTCCATAAAAAGTGTGGGCTGTGGGTGGTCCAACCCATTGTTTTGGTGCATCAAGCGCTGCCTTCAGGAATCCTTTGATGGGCTGGTTGTGGCTGGGTGGTGCTTGCAGGGCCAATTGGAGTCTGGCCTTGAGCTGTTCCCAATACGCAGGTTTGCCTCTGCGCCACAGTGGTCCGGCAGGTGGTTTGGCGCGCTGCCGGAATTACCCAGTAGCCCCTGCCTTGTGGTTGCCATGGGTGCTCTTGGAGTAGATATTGCTCGGTGATGGACACCCAGTCCGCCAGTGATTGTGCTTCTTTGTTGGGTTCGATGTCATAGAGCTGGATTGCCGTGGCCTGTGAAGTGTATGCGCTCCATGGCCTGAAGTCAATGTCCGGGGTGCGAGGCATGGGCGGAGAAGGGCACGGCTGTCGGTAGATCCGGATTGCAGCATCGATCTCAAAGTTCAAAGTGACCAGAGTGAGGCGGTGCCACGATCTGCCAGTCAAACTTGGAGCCGAGTACGGTCTCTTCGAAAGAGCTGGGTGGTGTGTTCCAGTCTCCAACAAGGAGGAATTGATACCTGGTCTCTTGAAGAAGGGCAAAACCGCAGCCGTTGACATCAAAGCTGTCGCACAAAGATGGCCCAGTACCATTCGATGACCTGTTTGCCAAGGCTAGTGATGTTGGCAAAGTGGAGGCGCATGATTCATCATTGGGCCTGGTCCTTTTGGCCGGTGATGGATGTAGAGGAGGATCGTAATCCGGGGCATGGTTCTGGGCTGCATTATGTCACCAGGAATTTGAGGCGTCAAATTGGGAATCACCTTAGACGTCTGTCCGTCGTCGGCTAACCATAGAAGGTCCCGGTACATCAAAATGGCGTAGTAGTGGCCGGACATGTGGTTGTGGCCTTTGTGGCAGATCAGTCCCACTGCCCTGAGAATTCAAGGTGGGGCGATGATGCCGTCGACTTCTGTGTCCCTCTTGAGGTGGCAGACGAGGGCTCGCTTCTCATCCATGAAATATTGCCCCAATCCTTCATTGCACCACGCATTGATGAGCTCCTGGAACTGGGAAGTCAATGTGGATGGGCATTTGGATGCGGTCCTTGAGGAAACCTCCCGGCTGGATCTCTGCATATCTGTAGGTGAAGGCCAGAGACTGTGTGGCCAGCCAAAGGGTGTTCACGAAGTGACTAGCATCCCCTTGCACATTGAGGTCGTACTCCTGCCATAAGGTTTGAAGGCCAGGGAGTTGTTGAAGATCAACTGCCTCACAAGTTTCGAGGCTTTCTTGGACGGCTTCACGAACTGTTCCCCAAAATTGGGTGTTGTGTTCTTGCAGAAAGGCACACAACCAGGTGAATGCTCTCCATGCAGCATTGGCAAAGCATCTCTGGCTTAGATTTCCAACTATCATAGTCAGGTTCTGCATCAGCAAGTCCGTCGACGTGGCATAGTCGTAGAGGACACGCTGATTTATCGTTGTGGCCGCCATAGACGACCAGTCAGTGCCGGAGGGATTGGATGTGCCTCCAATCACAGCCAAGCGAGGCCGGCTGCCATGATCCCCAGGAGCCGGGCGCTGTTGGCAAAAATTGAAATTGGAGTCCTGATGACAAAGTGTCAAGGGCGGCACAGGGCCATCCGTTTTCCTGCGCTTCGTTAAATCATCAGGATCCTGAATGGGCCTCTTTAGAAGGCCATGCAATTGGCTCTTCTGCTCCTCCATGGGGATTTGTTCAGGCTCTCCCATGGGTGCTGCATGGTCAGAAGGTGCTGGGGTCTGATTGACCCCCTTCATGTAGTCCTGGGAGAGCTGCTGTAGGGCTTTCTGGCCATCCGCAAGCTTGCTTTGGAGGTCCTGCATGCCCGTGAGGAGGGATGCATTTTGGGCTTTGACTCCATCAATGTTGACCTGAAGCTGATTCTTGCGGATGGACAAGGTCCTCAACTCGGTCACTTGGCCTTTGAGCTTAGTTGCTATCTCTCGCTCAGTGCATGGTTCTGGTGCCGTGAGCTTGGTGACGATCTGCTGGACTTGTTGGGGCAAGGCATCCATATGGGTCTTCAAGATGTCCTTCAGCTCGGGCTCTTCTGGCTTGCTGGGACCGATGCCTAGGGCCTGCAACTTATCTTGCGTCTCCTCTGACTTGCCCAGCTATTGGAGAGGAGTTCCGTGGCCTCCTGTTGGACTTTGCCTCTTTTCAGAGGCTTCATCTTGCTTAGGCCAGGTGGAGATTCCAACCATTGCTGATTGGCCATGTTTCTGTTGGTCAGTCTGCCAAATCCTTTGCCCTTGCCAGTGCCGCCTGCCTGTGTTGGCCACCAGGTTCCACACCTTCTGCACT